CAGATCACGAGATCAAGAGATCGAGACCATCCTGGCCAACATGATGAAACTCCGTCTCTACTAAAAATACAAAAATTAGCTGGGCATAATGGTGCGTGCCTGTAGTCCCAGCTACTTGGGAGGCTGAGGCAGGAGAATCACTTGAACCCGAGAGGCAGTGAGCTGAGATCCCACCACTGCACTCCAGCCTGGTGAAAGAATGAGACTCTGTCTCATAAATAAATAAAAGAGAGACAAGGTGTTTGTTGATTGAAATACACTGATTGAGTTCTTTGGTTACTTCTAGGTCTGATAGTCTAGGATTCAATGATTCAAGGGGAGAGGCTGAGGAAAATCTTTAACTGGATGGGAGGGTTTGGGGTCCTTGGGTTTTCAAGAGTATAGAAAAAGGTTGCATTAGCCCCGTCTACATTGTTTGTTTTATCTTCCCCACTTCCTGGCTGTGTCCACTAAATCTCTAGGCTGTCTACATGTTGCCTGGATGTGGATGTCGGAAGCGTTCATATTCTTTCTTCTTGCTACTCTGAACTCTTTTTTTCCCCTGTAAAATGCAAACACCACCCTGCAAGTAGACTTATCAGATACCTTCTGTTTCCCAGGCACTGGGATTGGCCTAGGCCGTACATCTCCGTGCTCTCTGCTCTCATGGGGACTCCAGGCAGCAGGGGAGAGAGGGAAGCACACAGATAACCATGGTCTTGGGAGACCCCCACAAGCCTGGAGTCTACACGGGAGTGGTAGGGACACAAAGAGAATGCCCAGCTCAGTTTCGGGTGGCCAGGACCACCACACAATAAATGAGATGCTTGAACTGGGTCTTGAGGGATGAGTAGGAGTTCATGTGATGAATGAGGAGGAAGGGCTTTCCAGGCAGGAGGAACACAACACATGCAAAGAGTCAGAGGTGTGACAGGACCCAGAGATGCTGCTTGTGCCTCAGGCAGTCAGCAACCAGGCAGCGGGGCAGCACCAACCCCACACGGTTTGTCCCAGTAAAGCTTTGTCTTCTCTAGTCATCTGGAAACCTCTCAGGGAAACGTTTTGTAAAATCCAAGCCATATTTATTTATTAATGGTGGTTATCATGGTTTCTAGAGCATTTTATTGGATAGGTAGAGACTTTTCTGCTTTTTGAAAGTAATCACTTCTAGCCTTTGTGGCTAAAAAGAGAAAACGGCAAAAAATGCCAAACTGTAGCTAGGATTGTCGTGTTTAATGTGAAGAGGATTTGGCCAGGGGCAGAGGAACATTCTGTATGGAACAGAACAAAGAGATTTATGGCAAGAAGATATATTGGCATTGAGCAAAGAATTGCAGATTTAAACTGAGAAGACAGCCGCACAGCCACAGCAGACGGAGTTAACGCTGGAGGTGAGCTCTCTCCTCTTCAGGTACCTCAATGCTATTTTCACATCAAAAGCCTATTTTTGATGGTAATGGGAAAGCACAGTTGGTTCAAAGTTATTGCAATTCAGACCTAATGAAGGCAAACTTTGCTAATTTTCTCCTTATAATAATGTTACATCTGTTTTAAAAGTTAGCAATTTACGACACAGATAAAAGAAGCATTTAAAAAAAAACAAAAACTCTTAAATTCTTTTACTTAGAGGCAAGTACCATAGAAATTTTTTTTTTTTTGAGATGGAATTTCTGCCCTGTCACCCAGGCTGGAGTGCAGTGGTGGTATCATGGCTCACTGCAACCTCCTCCTCCTGGGTTCAAGAGATTCTCCTGCCTCAGCCTCCCAAGTAACTGAGATTACAGGTGCCTGCCACCATGCCTGGCTAATTTTCGTATTTTTTTTAGTAGAGATGGGGGTTCACCATGTTGGCCAGGCTGGTCTTGAACTCCTGACCTCAGGTGATTTGCCTGCCTTGGCCTCCCAAAGTGCTGGGATAACAGGCGTGAGCCACCATGCCCAGCTGATATTTTCTTTCAGTCCCTTTTACATATTTAATTAATTTATTTACAGGTTGCAAGCTTAGTAGTGGTAATAATTGTTAGTTATCCTGGTGTGTGTACTATTATATATGTGCCCGGCACCGGTCTAAGCACCCTATACATAGTAATTATTAAATCCACACAACTCTAAGAAGCCAGTACTTTTCTCATTTTTCAGGTTAGGGAAATGGAGGCATATAAAGGTTAAGTAACTTGCTCAAGGTCTAATATACAATAAATGAAGATTCAAACCCAAACCTGTATCCAGAGCTCACCATCTTAAAAAACTCGACTGCTTAAACTCTTTCTCCGCTTCTCTAAAAATATAATAAATAATATATTCTATTTTAACACATATGTATTTTAATATATATGATATCATATTTAAGAACTTAAAATTATCTGCAGGATCCACCTATCTTTCTATACAGTAAATGTATCTTGCTGAGTGTTAGATCATAAGCATGTTTGCGTCATTTACAAACTCTTTATGCACATAGCTTTTATGCCTGTGGATATTGCGGGCTGTGTTAAGCATGCATTTCTTGTTGGGTATTTCCTTAATTTCTAGTTTCCCACCGTTACACAGGGTGCCCATATACACAGCCCAGTGTGCCTCCCTGATGAGCATTTCAGAGCTGCAAATACTCGCTCTGGCAGAACCCCCTGGGGTGCCACTCCTGCCTGGCAATGAAGGTGCAGGGATGGGTGGGGTCTCACGGCCCTTTCTAGGGAGGCCCTGCCCAGCCTGGGAACAAACAAGCCCATCACACAGGTTCTATGCTCTAGCGCCTGATACTTTTGAGGACTGAGCCCAGGAACAGCTGGGAACTCTCCTTGCTGACTGGGGCACCAACAGGAGTAATCCACCTCTTTAGCCTTTGTCACAAAAGATAAATGACCTTGAACCCCCTGGGTCATATTGAAGTCACTCTTGCAGGAAATCAGTGATCCTAGCAAGAAGAGAAAAAGCAGAGTTAAAGGTATTAGCGCAGTTGGAGAGGGCTCTCATGATTTATTTTCTTTCCTCTTTGAATTGGAATTTGATCAGGAGTCCTGGATTTGTAATAGTCAATTGCAACAGGGATGTAAAGAGAGCTTTGGACAGGAGCTCATGTTTCTTTCCTCCCTCCCTCCCTCCTTCCTTCCCTCCCTCCTGTTCCTCTTTCTTTTTCTCTTTCTCTTCCCTTTTTTCTTTTCTTTTTTGACAGGATTTCGCTCTGTCTTCCAGGCTAGAGTGCAGTGGCGCCATCACAGCTCACTGCATCATCTGCTTCCTAGGCTCAAACAATCTTCCCAACTCAACCTTTTAAGCAGCTGGGACTTCAGGCATGCACCACCACACCCAGCTAATTTTTATTTTTTGTAAAGATGTGGTCTCATTATGTTGCCCAGGCTGGTTTCCTGGGCTCAAGCAATCCTCTCACCTCAGCCTCCCACGGTGCTGGGATTACAGGTGTGAACCATTGTGCCCAGCCAGCTGGTGTTTTCTATAGTGGTAGCAATGGTTTAAATGAAAGAAGTGTAAGAATATGTCATCCTGGGACTCTCAAGGGAGTCTTTGTTGTTGGGGTCTGTTCCGTGGTATTCACAGCAGTTATTTTAAGGGGCATGTGCTTTTACTTACGTGGCTTAGGTCAGCACTACCTGTAGTCCTTCGGAGGCAAGCCAGGATGCCAGCTGACTGTCTTCCACTGCAAGCTCGCGTTCTTCTCCTGACCCTTTGTTCTCTGCACAGCGTACTGTGGCTCCACTCCAAGGACACAAACTTCCATGTAGTTTAAAAAGAATCAGTTTAACTGCTGGTGGTTAGACAGATTGGTATGTACCTGTGTGGAGAGCACTGTGACCCAAGAGAACACTTCATGGCTAAGAAGACATGAAACGGTGGCATTTGCCATTGGACCCAGCAGGCACCAGGCAGATGAAGCTCCAGTTGGAAGGGCTACTGCTGATTTTTTTTTTGGTTGTTGTTGTAGCTCTGGGAGCAGATACTAGCTCTGAAACCATTCCCCTGGCTGGCTCGGCTGCCTCTCCCTGCCGGGTGTCAGGCCGACCCGAGCCAGGCTCTGCAGAGCAGGGCATTACGCGCGCGCCCCACGAATCCTCCTCCTTCCCCAGGCGCAGATCAAAGGCAAAGCCCAGGAGGTGGGAGTCCCTGCACACTTTCCACCTCTACCGGGCTTAGGCTGCTCTTGGCTGGTTGGTCTGTGGAGTGCCTGATTGACCAGCTTTTTATAAGGTACTGTTTATTTGACTTTGCAAGCGAGCACCTGCTTTGGGGGTTGGACTGCTTTGTGTTGACTTGTTATGAAGACAGCTGGAGCCTGTGTTTAGCAGAATAATAGCAAAGCACTGGCCTTTGATAAGGTGCAGGGAGCAGTAAACCCAGGCAATCCACTTAACCAATGGGCGTCCTTATTTTCATTGTTTGAAATGGTATCAAAAGGGGTTGCAGATAATTAGTTTGTGTTCTTACGAATGATAGGCTAAAGTGATTCAAAACCCTTCTTGGTCCCGGCCTGGTTGGTTTCTGAGGGGTTTTTCAGGTTTCTGCTTCCCTGGCTTTATTCTGAAGGTCCTTGTCTTCCATTCAGTTCTTACTGCACTTGGAGGGGACATAGCTGATGGCTTTGTAGTTGTATTTGAGAGCACTTCAAGACGTTCTCCAAAGAAACATTCTCTGACCTTCTGTGCACAGATGTCAGAGCAGCTTGAGGCTGGGCTGGGGCTGTGGGCCAGGCAGCCTGAGTCCGCCCGGCTTTTCTCCCTTCAGTGAGTGACACCTGTGGAGTTTATGAGTTCCTCTGGGAAAATCGGAGAAATCTACATGAGAATGATGCCTTGCTTCCTGCCAGAAGGACTGTCAAAGAGTTTATAGGATACCTTCCTGCAGTCTCAATGCGTTTATTGCCATGTCATATATTGGGGGCTGACTATTGCCCACCATTCCCATTCTTCCAGGGCTTTGGAAATTAGACAGCGTGAGAACGCAGTCCTGAGGGTATTGCCTTTTTCTAGACTTGTTTTCTCAAACTTCGGACTCACCGGAAGTAAGTCGCCATGCTTGTGTGTTGACGGGGGAGTTCTTCCAGTTAGAATTTGGTTGCAGGGAAGTTGGAAGAGGAGGGAGCATGGGTCAATGGTGTCTGGAATTTGGGGTGTTCTGGTGAGGTTGGGGTGGGGTCATGTCCCTGTGGCTGGCCAGGGTAGTGGCACTGAAGGGCCAGGTTGGTAGGATTCTAGAAGGCCATCTCCCCGAAGGAGATGGAACCCCAGGTTGGAGGGTTTGGATGTGATTCAGAATGGAGGCAGTGAGGCAAAAAGGGAAGGGAAAGGGAGGCCGGGCAGGAAGCCCGGTTGGGGTTTCGCTCTTATAGACTTGACTCCAGAGCATGGCTCTCCCTTCACTGCCATGGTTCTTTCTGGAGGAGAGGGTGTCACACCGAGTGCGGCTGTGCCCAGGCGGGCTCTGTGGGCATTTGCGGGTGAGTGGATGGCAAGCGAGGGGAGGCCGTGAGGAGTGGAACGCTTCGTCCTGACCTCGCAGCTCTCTCCAGACCCCCATGCACTACGCTTCTCTATTACAGCGAGACCACCACGCCTCCGCCTCTTTCCGAAGCCTGAGGTCAGCCAGGCTCCTCCTGCCGCCCACCCCGCACAGATGTAGGCTTCAGTCCTCTTTGAGTCCTGGTTTATTGCAGTATCCTCCTAGAAGCCTTCCTTAGGAAGCCGCAGGAATCTCTCAAACACAGCCTCATCAGCCCTGCTTAACTCCTTTGGTGGGTTGACAGGGTTAATTTCAAACACCTTAGCAGGGTTTAGGCTGAACGGCCCCCTCATTGCCTTCCTACCCGCTGTCCCTGTGTACACGTCATGCTGCAAGGACCTGTGTTACCCAGGCACACAATAGGTGTCTAAGCCCTGGGTCAAGCCGGTGCCTTGTATACCTTCTGCCTGGAATGCCCCTTCTTTTCAGCCAGCAAACCTGTAATCATCTTTGACGACTGATCCTTCCATGAGGCCTGCTGAGACTGGCCTGGTAGAATTTTCCATTCCCTTCTGTGTTTCCCTCCAGGCCTTCTTACCTGCATCTCTTCTACTTAACATTGTTACCTGCTGACCTGCACTTCCTGTGTCTCTGTGAGGTTCTTCAGGACAGGAGCTGTGTCTATTTCAGTTTCACCCTTAGCTCCAGGCGGGAATTAAATATTTCTGCCAAGGATCCAATTTGGATTATGTAAGCATTTACCTTAGTTTAAGGCAAAATCAGGATTCTAGAAGAGGAAAGTTCTTTGCTTCTCACAGGACAGGCATAGAACAGGCCAGAAGCTGTCAATGTGTGGCTTGGGGCAGACCTGGCTCCCTGTCCTTGAGTCCCTAGACCCTGAAGGCCCCAGCTGCGTGTGCTCTTGGATCCGGGGGTGGCCTGGGTGGTGGTGGAGCAGGATCTCCAGCAGCCTAGGATCACTGGCAGAGTCAACGGCCGCTCCTTTACAGATCCGCTCTCCTGTAAGAAGCTGTTCTGGGCTCAGGGAGGAATAAGGGGAAGAGGTGAGATGGGTGAGCTTCCTTGCTACATTTGGCAACTCAGTCCCTGGAGGAGACATAGACACTGACACACTGTCTGTGGCCTCAGGGAGAACAAACCCAGAGCCCAATGAAGGTACAGTATGAGCAAAGGGCTGGGGCGGGGAGAGGGCAGAAGGAGGAGCAGTTGATTTTGGCTTAAATGTAAACTGAAGAGGGACCAGACACGGGCGGCAGAGCGGTGGAGAGGCAGTGTGCTCACCAAGGAAGAACAGACGCGCACACCTCGTCCTTTGATGCTCATAGGAAAAGCTCTCCTCTGGCCCTTCTGGCTTTGTTTGGAGCAGAAAACAACCAAGTGAGTTCAGGTAATACCTGGAGCAGCGGGAGTGAGCTAATTTTCTGGAATTCTAACGGGGGCATTCCAGGGGCCTAAATTAAAGCCTCAGATGCGTTTGTTTGGTGCACCTGGGGCTTTAAATTCTAATCCGAATGCTTTCAGACAGGACCTCAAGTCTATTTCTTTACAGTCCTAGCTGTAACCTTAAACACATGGTCTTCCTCTTCTACGCTCCCTTTTTAGGGGTTGTTTTCTGGGGACGTGCAGTGTCCCGGGCACCATGGGAAGCAAAGAGGTGACTGGAATAGTCCCTGCTGTCAAAGTTTAGTTGGGAAGCTAGCAGAAGTGGGGATAAGAGACTAAATGATGTAATATCTACTCAGAGAGTCACATTTCAATAGGCGTACTCCTAAGGAAGCCAGAAGTTTAATGAATTCCATTCAGGAAACTGTTCTGTGACAGTGAATAAAATTAAGCCAAGATTAAGACTTAAGTCTCTGGTTAACATTTAGAAATTAGAATTAAAAAAATTGGAATTAGAGCCCAGTGAAGGTACAGTATGAGCAAAGTGCTGGGGCGGGGGGAGGGCAGAAGAGGGAGCAGTTGATTTTGGCTTAAATGTAAACCGACGAGGGAACAGACACAGGCGTTGGGGCAGCGGTACGTCCATGAAGGAACAGATGTGCACATCTTGTACTTCGATACCTATAGGGAAAGCTCTCCTCTGGCCCCTGTTTATTTGGTGCACCTGGGGCTTTAAATTCTAATCCGAATGCTTTCAGACAGGACCTCAGCCTATTTCTTCAGTGGGCAGTTAATTCCAATTTTAGAGACAAAACTGGAACTTATTAACATCTATTTTATGCCAACTGCCCTACATGTTAATTTAGTCCTCACTACAGCCCTGTAGGTGGTTCTTAGTAGCTCCATTTTATAAAAGAGGAAATGGAGATTCAGAGAGGTTAGGTAACTTGCCCAAGGTCACACAGCTTGAAAGCAGCATAACCATGAATCAAGCCCCCGGTGGTGTTATTGAAAAGTGCATGCTTTTACCACTATAGCAGACAGATTATGAACACTTTGCAAACCCCAAGTTTTTTTCCCAAGAATTTTTTGATGTTGATGAAGTCCAATGATAATGAGAGGTTTGTTATCTTATAACTTGAAGGGACCTGCTAGGCCCTCTCTGAGTCCTGCTGGTTTTGATCTAACTGGATGTTGCAACTGGGACCCGAAGAGCACTGTGTTCTCGGCACGCCCTGGGCCTCAGTGGCCATGTACATGCGCAGGGTTTGAACCCCTGATGTGTGCTACTGGGCGGTGTGAAGAAATGGGTGTTGATGCCTGTCTGTGAATGGGCTGGGGAGTGGGGAGGAGCTGGGTCTGAGGAGTGCACAGCACAGGGAGGCTGTGAAACTCGGGTAACATGGTTCTCATTTTACACATTAGGAAACTGAGGCTGGGTGACATTCAAGTGACTTGTCCAAGGTCACACATTTGGAACAGTTTTAGAATGTCTAATGTACAAGCCAACGTACATGACTTTATTTTTCTGAGCAAATGACGAGTGTGCAGCACCTAGGAGCACCCAGAGCTGTGCGCTATCTTCAGAAGTGAGTCCCAGCCCGTTCCGGGACCCAGCGCTGCTGTTGACAGATGGAGGCTGCATTTAGACAGAGTTACCTCATTGCTTGACTGGTGAAAGGTGGAGCTCCGAGAGGAGCAGGGAGATCATGTGGACCCTGATTTTAGTTGGATGCCTAACCCTTCTAGTCTGATAGCCTTTTAAGAGAAATACATTTTTCACCTGTGGTCCAACCTTTGGATGTTCTGTTCTAAGGAGGGGAGAGGAGGGGAGGGGTCACTCTAAGGAGAGGCCAGGGCAAGAATGTTTTTCTTGGAATGGGCAGGAGCCAGAGGCTCCTGCTCTCATCCCCAGGGAAGGGCCCACGGGTGCTGAGGGTGCAGGTGGAGGAACAAACGCTGACCGCCCGTCTGTCCTCCCCTCCACCTGCCCGTCCCTCCGCCTGCCTGTTCACCTCCACGCAGGGGACGGGAGGAGGCCACATTCTTAGAATGCTCTCCGTTTTGTCTGGCTAGAAATATGTCTTTTTAGATGAGGCTAAGTGTTTATTCTTTTGTCAAGGCAGCGTCCCTTTTGGCAGAGCACCATTACAGAACAACCTAAGGCAATCCTTCTTCTAACCCGGCGTTTTGAGCAAGGCTGGACAAGCGAACACCACTTCAAAAAAGCAACTTTAAAAAAATGCATCCTTTTCTGAAGGAAAAGGGATTAATCTTTTCAATGAATCTTTGCTTTCAATGAAGCATACTGAGGGCCATCCGTGGACATTCTAAAATTGTTCCAAATGTGTGACCTTGGACAAGTCACTTGAATGTTACCCAGCCTCAGTTTCCCAATGTATAAAATGAGAACCGTGTTACCTGAGTTTTAGGACTGTGCTGAAGATGAGGTAAAATTACAAATGGAAAACCAGAAAAACCTCTGCACAAAGTGGTCCTGACAGATAGCGGCTATTAATTATTCCTTGAGATGTTTGGGGTTTGTGTTCCTAAAGAACATAATAAAGATGTGAAGACCAAGAATGCTTTTCTATCCCATGCCCCATCCCTCCCTCTTCAAAACCAGCACGGTAAGACTTTTGCCATTGGGCTGTTGGAAGAAAATTTCCTGGCACATAGGAAAGAAATATTGGTTTTCTTCTTCTTCCATTCATACTCCCTCTTTCAATAAATTAATTCACACCTACATAATATATATGTATATAACATATGTCCTTACAGATTTATAAGAACATGGACCACATGTTTTTATATGCTTATATGTGGTTTATACATGCTTGGACCACAGTATATTTTATTTGCATTATAAAATACATAACTAATTGAAGTGAATAGATAAATCGTATATACACTGAAGTTTTGATTTTTTTTATGCGCTCGCTTGCGATACAGTGCTGTAACATTAGAAGCCTTACAAACTTTCTCATGTGCTTCTGGAGGAATAGGTAGAACCTGTTCCGGAAATAACTGCAGGACTTTCTTGGCTCCCAGGATAATGAAGGCCCTGCTCTGCCCAAGAGGACGTCTCACTTGTCAGGTGAATGCAGGCTTGGCCTTTTTAGGCTGGGTCTCCAGTGCTATCCTTTAGAACTTTAGAGGAATGCCTTAACTTTCTATAAAATCAGGAAGTAAAAAGATTTCTATAAAATCTTGCCACTACTAGAAAAGGCACCAGAAGATAATGATAATACAGATTTATAACTCTGAAATGTGGATGTCTGAGAATTTTACATTCTGCTAGTTTAAACTTTTTTTTGAAATAGCTTCTCACTCTGTCACCCAGGCTGGAGTGCAATGGCTCGATCTTGGCTCACTGCAACCTCCGCCTCCCAGGCTCAAGTCAGTCTCCTACCTCAGCCTCAGGTGTAGCTAGGATTACAGGCATGCCACCACGCCTGGCTGTTTTTTTGGATTTTTAGTAGAGATGGAGTTTCACCATGTTGGCCAGGCTGGTGTCGAGCTCCTCACCTTAAGTGATCTGCCTGTCTCAGCCTCCCAAAGCGTTGGGATTACAGGTGCTAGTTTAAATTTCTTAACACTACTTTTCATGGAAGAGATTCTTTGGAGACTGGCTTTTAATTCCAGACCAGGCATTAGCTATGTGTCTTCAGACAGATCCAAGCTTTCCAAGTCCTACTTTCTTAGTTTCTTCATATAGGATAAAAGTGGGGAGAGAAGTAACTTTCAGACAGGGTTGTTGCCAGGATTAAATGGGATAATTCTTCACAGGTATCCTTCCTTTGATTCTGGTCTGCAGACTACCACGATCCTCAGTTGCTCTTCTACTGAGATTCCTTGTAATGCCAGTATTCTATTCTTGCCTGCCTTTCATTTATTTTTTAAACGTAGCCATCTTTTTTCAATACATATGAATATGTGCATAGTCTAAAACGTTAAAATGAAAAACAAAAATGAAAAACCCATTTCTACCCCAATTCCTGCTTCCTAGAGGCAACCATTTCTAAATTCTTTCCTTTTATCCCCCCTCTGGAATTAACTCTTTATTTGCAAATAACTGGCGTTGCAATTTACTGTTTGTGTCAAGGCTATCTTTTCATTCTTACTGTGGAATATGAGAATTGAGCTTTCTCATTTATACCTCTTTCCCTCTGTCTCAAGAACATACTCTTAGCCAGGTGCAGTGGCTCACTCCTGTAATCTAAGTGCTTTGGGAGGCTGAGGCAGTAGAATTGCTGGAGCCCAGGAGTTTGAGACCAGCCTGGGCAACCTAGCAAGACCCCTGTCTTTACAAAAAAAAAAAAAAAGTTATCTGGATATGGTGGCATGTTCCTGTAGTCCCAGCTACTCAGGAGGCTGAGGTGGGAGGATTGCTTGAGCTCAGGAGTTTGAGGCTACAGTGAGCTCTGACTGCACTACTGCACTACGGCTGGACAACAGAGCAAGACCCTGTCTCCAAAAACAAAAAACACACATTCTCACATGCACACACCCAGACATGTGCACACACGTGCATATACCTAAACACTTGTGCACACACATGCACGTATCCAGATACATACACATACATATGCCCTTCCCTTTCTTATTCTTCCAAAATAGTTACATCAAAACTTTGGTTGAATCAGCACTCACCATAGACTTACAGTGCATGTAACTAACATTTCAGTCATTGTACATCTTGTTTTTCCTGCAGCTACTAATTCTCTTTTTTTGGTTTAAATTTTTATGAACCTGTCAATAATACATCCCCGTATTCTGATAGAACTTGAAAACTCCTTTCAATATAATTGAACACACTGGATAATCAAATCTGTTACCCAGTTTGCTTCTTGGAGACTTCCCTCCTGGAGCCATCTGTCCCTGTTCCAGTGTGGCTCGTTTAGCTGTTCTCATCATCACCTCGTGAGTTCCCCTCTCTGTCTTCTGTTGGATCCCCCATCCTGGCCCCCTGGCTTCACAAAACTTAATTTACAGCACTTCCAA